GAGGCCGGTTCTGGACCCTAGCCAGCCCTGGGCCGGGGCCCTCGGTCAGCCAGAACCCAACAAGGAAAACAGAAACCGTTCTGAGTATTTGCAACAGAGAAAATGCAGTGCAGGGACTCGGGTACGTGGTGATTGGTGGAGTCGCTGAGAAGTCGGTAGGGGATCTGTGGCATCCCGGATACTAGCGTCAGCAGGAGACACGTGCGGTTCTAGCACAGAGGGCGGGGGTGATCTGATTCGAGCCCAGGGGCGGGAGGCAGCCCGTGGAAGCAGGAAGCACAGCGGGCCCTGGCCGGGCGGCCCAGTGAGTTAGAGCATCGTCCCAAGGTGCCCAGGCTGTGGTTTTGATCCCCGGTCAGGGCACATGCAAGAAGCAACCAGGGACACCGTCAACAAGTGGAACGACAAAATCAGTGTTTCTCTCTGTCTCGCCAGTCAGTTAAAAACAGCAACAACAGCAACAGTGGGCCTGCCTGACAGAAGCCAAAACTCTGCAGAAGACACAACTGCAGCCAGAGAAGGAAGGAGGCTTCTCACTTCCGCCCTCCAGACCCAAGCCAGTCCCCCCACCCCATGCCTGGTCCCCGCTGCAGGTCTTCAGCCTGCAGGAGCCCAGGGGACAGCCTGCGGGAGCCCAGGGGACAGCCTGTGGGGCCGGGCACCCTGCTGCCGGGGGGCAGGGCAGAGGGCAAGTGGAAGACGAGAGCCGAGCGCAGGGTGGCGAGGACCCCCACAGGACAGACAGGGGGGGTGGGAGGGGGGCTCCTCGGAGGCCAGACGCCACCGCCCCGTGTTGCAGTGTCCTGGCAGCTGAGCTCCCGCTCCAGCGCCCAGAGCTCCGCACCGGCTCTGCTTGAAGCTCCCTGCCGCCAGCTTCCTGCCTAAGTGCACGTGGGAATTATTTGAAGAACATTTGAGATGGTACAGAGTCCTGGGCTCCTGCCCCGTATGGAAAAGAATTTTGGGGGGCGAAGTGGAAACACCTGTACTACTTTCTAGGATCTCACGGTGATTGTATTATACAGGCGGTCTTTGGAACGACCTTTTAAAATAGTGTTTAAAGATGAGGCTTCCCTGGTTTCGAATTTCTGGACCCTCCAAGTCTCCTTTCGTCCTTCTGGGGCGAAACCTACGGTGCCGGGCTGCAGAATAGGGCAGGTCTCCAAACAAGCACGCATACTCTCACATGCAGAGACAGACTGAGCTTCGTATCTGCGTCATCGCCGAGGTCCAGAGGGCAGACTGCGCCCCGCGCCACCCTCGTCAGCGGCACCATGGCTGGCGATATTTGGGGGCACACCGTTTTCTGCTTTTTATTGAAGCGAGCGAGGCCTCACAGCAGGGAACGTCGTCTGTGACGCAGTGCTGGTTACTTCTGAGGCCGGCCGTTCTTTGTCTCAGCCACGGTGTTGTCCCTCAGAAGCACGTGTCAGCAGGAGACGGGGTTCGCTGCGTGCAGACGGTCCCTGTGCGTCCGGATGCCTCGGCGTCTGCTGTTCCGCTTCATGTCTTACTTACTGCAACCCCACGGCAGCCCGAGGGGGCCCCGCAGCCGGACCGCACTCCGACCTGCGCAGATTTTATTTTAATGTTCTATATATCCCGTTTCGATATAGACTTTTATTTGTAAAAAAAAAAAAAAAAAAGAAGGTTCCACTTGCTCCTTTTAAAAAATGCTGCCTTCTGGACAAAGCTCTCCATAGGGTGCACTCACAAAACCTTCCAGAACTGCAGGGTCCACAATGGGGGCGTTTCGGGGAAGCAGGCTCCTGGCAGACGACGGGTGGCTGGGTGCAGCCCGGAGACACGTAGGTCCACACAGGCTCGCCGGTCAGCGCTTGAACTGCCAGAGGGGGGGGTGGGTCGCAGGAAACCCTGACCCCGGCAGCCCGGAGCAGCACAGGCCTCGCCCAGGGGCCGAGAGGCCCGCTGGCCCAGCCCGCTCGGGGACCAGGAGATGCTGCGGTTTCCTGGGCTAATTGCTGTGGTAGCCAGAGGCCTGCTCTTGCTCACGGTTACTTTTCAAAGAGAGATTTCACTGAAAACTTAGGTGGCTTAGGTATGCTATCAGAAAATAACTTTCATCTTTAAAATATTGGCTTATTTTCTTAGTAAAAATGATGGCATGTAAGTTTTTGGTACCTTTTTCCTGTCCTTACAGATGTAACACATCTCTTTAAGAATCTCTTACGAGTTGTTTTGGTTTGGTTTGTCTTCTCTGCCTCCAGTGAGACACGTCTCGCGGCCGCACGGAGTCTCGAGGCTCAGGAAGTGGGGAGAGCCGGCCCCTGGGGTTAGCAGCTGAGACCCGCGGGGGGTGCGAGTCTCACGTACACAGCACTCATCCGGCGTAGAAGCATGGGTTCCCGTGGGGAGGTGCTAGGCGGCCATTAAGATGATACGAAGTTAATGTGGTGTCATGAAATGAAAGAAGTTGGGGGGGACGTGGAGGACAGAATAATATGAGATGCAGTGATGAGCATGTTTTAGAGCACATGCACACTGCCCTCTGATCCGACAATCCCACTTCCCCAGCAGGTGTGGGGAGATAAGCGCGCCAGAACTGTTCTCCACCACGTCACCCACAGCTGCAAAAACGAGAAACGGCAAACCCTCGTCCGTGGGCGTCAGGTAGACACGCAGGGAGCATGCGCACGATGGAAGGCTGTGTAGTCGTTGTGTAAACAGAGCAGACACACTATCTGGGCTTGGGAGTCTGGATACATTGTCACGTGAAAAAAACAAGTTACAGGACAGAACGTACACTGTAAGGCATTTGGCAAGAATGTCAAAACAGTATATATGAAATAAATCATATGTAATAGATATATATTAATACCATATCTGTCTAGATTGTATGTCATTACATAATAATATACAATGATATAATATACATATCATAGATACTGCCACCAAACTTTTCACAATAATTTCTGTAACTATTCTGGGTTGGGATTGTAGGGAATAATTTATCCTTTATTTCTGTATACGGATTTTTTATAGGAAGCATGCCAATTTATACTACGTTATAATACACATGTTTTATAACACAACATTAATAAAATTTTCACATACAAATGTGGGCAAAAGGCAGCCATGTGCTAACCTGACACACTCAGCGGTGGGGGCGGGGGGGTGCCTGCGTGGCGGCCTTACACCCCGAGAGACAGGCCGCAGCCACACCGGACGGCCTGAAGCGGAACCTCGCTCACTAAAAGCAGTTCAAGAGGGGTAGCCGTGTCCTCCAGCAGAACTCCCCACCCCCCCCAAAAAAAGCTCAGTCCTCACCTTAACGGAGCCTGTCTGTTGTCTCTTTGCCGCCAAGGTAACACAACTCGGAGAAGCCCAAGTATCTTCTCCCCCTCCCCTCGCCCCGCCCTTCAGTGCGCACCTGAGGAGCCGGGACCGCAGACACCCCGCCCCCCCGCCCCCCCGCTGCCACTGGCGTCCTGCTAACTGCCGACGGCCCACCCGCCTGCACCCGCCTGGGTAGACCGAGCACGAGTCCGTCATGTTACGTTTTATCAGACCCCAAGGGCCCCCCGCCCTCTGCTCTCTCCCACCCCCCCAACCCATCACCAGTGGGTCCCATGGAACGCCCTCCCGTCTTCCCCTTTGATCTGACGTCTTCGGTAAGTGGTCAAACTGCCATTTTGTGGAGCATCTTCTCAAATTTTTGAGGTTTTGCTTCCTGGCGATTGTTGTGAGTCTGGCTCAAAGACACTCACACAAATTGTTACAGGTTTGGACGTTTCTCGCGTGGACAGAAAAAAGACGGGAGGAGAACACACTCATGTGATCACACTAATTATTTCCAGGTGATGGAAGCATGAGAGATTCTAAACAATTATTTGTGCTCTGTTCTGGTGGTCGGTGACGTGGGCTGGGGAAGAATTCACAGAGAAAAAAGTGAGGCAGAAAGTCAAGTTTTTATTCATTTTCCCCAGAAGGACAGGGGCTCGGTGCGGAGAGGGACACCAGCGCTGAGGGGCGGGGGCTTCGGGCTGGGACTGGGTTACAACTGGATGGAAAAGGGTGCGGTGGCTGCTGTGCGGGGCCCCGGCTGCTGGGGCGTGGGAAGCCCAGGCTGCAGTGTGTCCCGACGCTATCTTCCCCTGTGGCTGCAGGGAGAGGTCAGCTCCGTTCCCGCTTCCTGTCGCTTCCAGTCCTGGGGACATAAGCTCGTAAGAGCAAAATGTCAGTCACATTTCACGAGGTCACAGGCCTGCTGGGCCAATGCTGCCACCTTAGCAAACGGGGCTGGCTTCGTCCTTTCACGCTCTGATTAACGTTGGGCCGCCCCAGAATTTGCATTCCAGAGATTACAGCCCGTAAGTGGGACCACCCACGGGAGACTTCTCCCCGGTCCCTGTCCCCCAGCACTTGGGCTCTTGCGGACGCCCCACCTTCCTGGGGGGAAAGGGACAGGGAGCCGTCCATGGCAGCCGGACGGAAGCGTGAAGGTCACGGTCCAAGACCACACCGGGTGGGGTTCACCACAAAACCAGAAAGACAACCAGATCCGTGGCGTGCGAGTTACCAAAGAGCGGGAGCCTGTTGCGAGGAGCTCGCTGACGGAACACAGGCCACCGTCGGGCGCCGCTCCCCTCGCCCGCCGCCGCCACCGCGTCTCCCGCTGGCGCGCCCCGGCTCCGGGGCGGGGGCTGCGGGAGGAAGAAACCAAGCCGCTTCACGACACCACCCGGCCTCTGCAACGCCAGAACCGGAGAAGGAAGGAGGAGTGTGTGCCCAAATGCCACAGGGACAAACACGGGTTTCTCGGGGACAAAGGAAAACGGAATGATTTCAGTGGGTGGCAAATAGCACGCAAGTAATCTTTTTTTAAAAAATTCTATTCACCACTTGGGTACAAGCACACGTTGTACCCAGGAAGTTCAAATGTCGATCGTCATTATTAATACCCTTGTTTTCCTCGTTTGCTCTCTGCCAAATAAAACAAGGAATTAAATACAAGCTGTTGCAGGAAGAGGGCCAAGAGCATGCGGATCCCAGACAGAAAAGGCCCGGTCAGCTTTTCCGTTTCCTCCGGGGAGGGTGTCCCGGCCTGCAAGAGTGGCCCTGGAGGTCACTGCCCTGTGTCACACTCACTGCCGTCTCCTTTCACCGGGCGAACGTTCCCACGTCTCCCTGGATGCGAGGGGAACAGGCAGGCACTCCTAAGAAGGCCGTTGCTACCTGCCCAGCTCCCGACGTGGAAAGAGCTGGAGGGATGCTGCGGTTTCCCCCAAGGTGCAGCCTCGGGCTGGGCCAGGTGCGGCTGGGCGCCGGGCCCCGCTGGGGGCTCTCCCGTCCCCGCAGACAGACAGCGCCCGGGCGGCACGGTGGCAGAGCACCGGGGCGAGGACGCGTCAGACCCGGAGGTATGCAGCCGTCAGCTGAAATGGCCAAAGGAATGCCCCAGCCCGGTGCTTCTACCGAGCTGAGGAATTCTTTCCACATTTCGGAACTTCACCGAGCTGTGGAAGGAAGAAATGAGTACGGTTTCCTTGTTTTCTTCTCCTTTTTTTTTTTTTTAAGCTGAAACAGGAGCAGGATTGTAGCTGTCACAAGCTGACTACCTATTTTCTACAGTGCCGAAGTCTTTAAAGTCCTGGGAACGTGGGTGAGAGCTAATGTTTGTGCTGGGACCTCTGCACCCGTCGGGTGGGGCGTAGGGTGCCAGCCGCCCCCACCCCAGGGCTCCTGGCCGAGGAGGGTGAGGGGGCCGTTCTGTCTGTGGCACTTGGGACTGAGGGGAAATGGCCTTCGGCCCAGCAGTCCTGGAGGAGTGGCCCAGGACGAGGTTTGCCGCAAGCCGGAGAAGGCCCTGGACGTCCAGACCGGGCACCCCGACGCCCTGACTCCCGACTGCCTCTGAGGCACCGGCCCGGGAGGCTCTGCGCAGGCCCAGAGCCCAGCCCGCCGGCCTCGAGCCCTGGGGGGGATCCTGTTTCCCCGAGGCCCAGTTGCAGGGGATTGATTTCAATCCTCTCCCTTTACAGAAGCCACCGAATTAAAAATACATGGAAAAAGGGGGCCTGCCGCCTGGAAGACTTTCCTTCAACCAGACTCACCCCAGGGTGGGCTGGAGCACTGATCTATCTGGTCATGGGTTCCCGGGTCGAAACGGAGGCGTTTTTAAGCAAATCCGTGGCTCAGCTCCCTGGAATGTTCACCAGATGCTCTTTGTGAAACGCCAGCCAGCTTTCAGCAGGGTGGCTCGTTCGGGCCCCCTCCCAGGTGAGCCGACCCTCGGGAACGTGCCTAGGCCTGCGGAGGTCATCACCACAACAAAGGGTGGCTGCCCCTGGCCGGCCAGGCCGCGGCCGCAGCCTTCCACGTGGGAAATGTCCTTGGCCATTGTTGTCCCAGTAGAACTGTCAGCGCGTGGACCGCAGGGCCGTGACATGAATATTTAAGTGAGCGCCTGTCGAACGTAACCGGATGAACTGTGATGGCCCATCCAACGGGTGTTCTTTAGCAGCAGCAGGACCTGGAGGAGCTTACATGAGCCTCACCGAGTGGAAAGAGCCGGGCGCAGAGGCACCTCCCCAGAAGGTTACGCAACACTCGGGGAGGCCTCTCCCATTGACCGATGGGCTGAGCGGAGACGGTCATTTTCTGAAGCTCATTTTTGTTTTGAGTATTTGTTCCGTAACATTGTAACAGGTCCTATTTGCTAGAGTAAACACTTTTGCCACATTTTTGGTCCATCTTGCTCGTCAATTTCCAAACTCTGAGCTGGCGCCTGGGATCCGTCCACCCCGGTCCAGGGAGGAGTTGGAAGCCATACGGACTCTTACAACAGAGGAACTGAACGCAAGGAATTGTTCACCAAGTGCTGGGGGCAGGACTGTCGCTGATTGGGACTTGAGAGAAAGAGTGGGTCCAGATGTTCAGAACCGAAGCCGGGAGAGCCGGCACGCAGGCTGCTGGTCACCCACCAGGCCCATGAGGCAGAGACAGGGATCGAATCTCCACGGGTGCTTTGGTCAGATGCCGGCGCCCTCAGATGACGGCGGGTTCGCACCCTGGCAGACCGTCTCCCATTCCTTTTTAAGCCGGCCTTTTTACAAGGAAAAGTGTAGGCAAGGGGTTTGGGATTCAGGGAATTCCAGATCAAAAGCTGCAGCGTTCTTGCACCCACTGACCTGGGTTCTTCTTCAGGGCCCTGGGCAGTGGGCGTCACCCCCTGGGGCACAGCGGCTCAGGTTCCGTCTCCAGGGCCGGCAGTGCCCCAGGCACACAGGTGGGACTGCCCTTGTGGTCTCCTGGAATCCGGGCGGGTCACACCTTCCATTCCTGGACCAACAGCTTTTACACACACTGATCCCTCAGCGTCTTCGCTATTACCGGAAACTCAAGTTTTCCAACATTTGAGCCCCCCATCAGAAGGTGGACCTGGAGAGGGGCCTGCAGACAGACCTCAGGCTCCTGGACTGGAGGAGGGACCCCAAGGGGTCCCCCCAGCCAGGGCCCGCAGCCAGGCCTCTGGGGAGGGTGAGGTTGGGGGGCCGTCCCCTGAGGGGGGCAGTGACCGGGCAGCCTGCTGCCTGGAGCCAAGTGCAGCTCCCGGAAGCGGACCCGGCTCAGACGGTGAGGAGCTGCCGCCGGGGTGACCCCGACAGTGACCCCGACAGGGACCCCCACAGGAACAGGAGACACACGGGAGGGAGAAGCACCTCACCCCCACCCCACGACACCTAGTCCGGGCAGGACCTGTTGAGGGCTGAGCTGGCGCCACAGGGGTGAGGGGTGTGTCTCGGAGCCCTGAGCAAGGGCGGGCCCCGGGCTGGGACGGTGGCCCCAGCCAGCGCCCTGCCGCCCCCGCGGGAAACCCTGTCTTCAGTGCATTCGCTCGTGCGGGGAAGCAGGGGCTTGGGGGGCGCACAGACCTGGTTTCACACCCAAGGCCCTCCAGCCCGGCGCCCGGCAAAGCCTGTGGTGTATTCGCTCTGAGGCGCCGTTTCCTCCTGTGGACACGGGACCAAGAATGCCTGGTTGTCGGGGCTTCTAGGGGCTTCCGTGCCGTCACGCACAGAAATGGCCCAGCGCGGTTTCAGCACCAGGCGGCGGGACTCAGAACCACTGTTCACCACTGTCCGTGCTGGCTTTCCAATCTGCGCGGGGAACTAGCTGGTCAGCCAAACAGAACACAGTTCGGGGGCTGGGAGGGGCCGTGTGCAGCGAGGAAAAGGCGAGAGGAGGACCCCCTCAGCGATGGAGGCGTGTGCGCCGGACGCCGAGAACGGCACCGATGGCGGCTGCGCAGGAGCACACGCGAGCACCCCCAGGTGCGGGGTGCGGGGTGCGGGGGAGCTGGGGCGCCGGGGGCAAGGTCTCTGGGTTGCGTCACTGGGGGGGTCCTGGCTGCCACATTGGTCTGTGCGTCCCGAACTCGCTACCGTCGGGGGAGCCGCGCCCTCTGTACCGAGTCTGACGGCTGGTGTGTGTGCGTGTCCAACGATCGCGGTCAAAACCCCAGCGGGAAGTGGTAGGACTGCCGACGCCGAGACCGCCCCCCGACACCTCACCCTCGCGGCGCGACGAGGAAAACACCCGATACTCAAATCCACGTCACACCGGACCTGTCACACGCCGCTGCCGGGCACGTGAAAACGAGTCGTGTGCGGTCCCGAAGGCGGTGGATTTAACTGCACGAACATCGGTGAGAGCTCCGGTGCTTCCCGAGGCCGTTTGACCCTGTGAAACGTACCCACCGGGGCGTTTCGAAGGACAGCGTCGCACAGCACCGACGCGAAGTTTGAAGTGACACACTTGTCCCACCAGGGCCCGTGTCGCCCCGTCACGGAGAGTGACGCCGGGGTCGGGTGGAGGGGGGTGCCCCAGGTCACCCGAGGGGTCCTCTGTGGCCCAAATCGTCCGCAGATGTCACCCGAGTTCCTTCTTCTCCTCGCCTTGTGTTTGGGCTGGGCCGTGCACTCGGGTTTAATCGTCGCGCTGGAGGCCAAGCCGAAGCAGCGGTTCGAGGGACCCAGCTGGCCGCACAGGATAAGGAGCTCGGAGGAGTGCCTGGGGAGCGGGTCTCGCCCAGCAGCCGCAGCCGCGGACGAAACCCAGCTGGTTTCCTGCGGGGGGTTCTCCCCTCTCTTCCCGCGGGCCTGTTCCCACGCCGGCTGCGGTGCGTTTATCTGGCTTTTGGCGTCTGGGTTCACGGGCGGTTCTGACTCAGCGGCCGGCCCCTTCCCAAGGCTTCCTGTGATTGAAAACACACCTCGGCTAATAGCCCGGGCTTGCCGGGCTTCCTGGCTCCAGAAGGGGCCGAGGAGACTCCTCAGGACACGGGGCGGGCTCTCCGGCCAAACCAGACCGGCGGTCCTGGCAGCGCCGCCCTCTGCTCCGCCGCCCGGTGCGGAGGCTGCGCCCGCCCCGTCGGCAGGTTTGGGACGTCTCTCCCGGCAGGAGCACCGAGCCGGGGGTGGACACAGACCCTTCTCTGGAGGCTGCATGCCAAGTCCCGTCTCATTCCGTGCCAAACTGCACACGTGACTACGGTAAATCATGCCCCAGGATGCCGCGTGCCCCTCCCACTGAGACACAGTCAGCTGCTCACATGAAAGTGGCCGTTATTACCAAAGGGTGAAAAACAAACCTTTTATTGGGTCCACTGCATTGGTAACTTGTTTGGAACGCGAAACAATGGCGTGTTATTGTGCCCTGAGCAGAGTGGGTGTTCTACAGATTCTTAACTGCCGGCTGCAAGGAGCGAGAGGAGGCCCTGGCCGGGGGCGGGGTGAGGGGGAGCTCAGCTGGTTGGGGTGTCGTCCTGATGCATCAAGGCTGCTGGTTCGATCCCCGGTCAGGGCACACACCGGCATCAACCAATGAATGCAGAAATAAGTGGAACTACACATCAGCGCCCCTTCCCCTTCTCTCCAAAATCAGTGTTTTTAAAGGTGAGAAGAAAAATATTCACGCGTGGAACTATCTCGGCTGGAATCCGATGAAGACATGTGACTTCAACCAAGGTCAACCCTCTTCCTCTAGAAAATGCGGTTCTCGGTTGCCTCCGCCCTAATCGAAGGTCTTCTATGTGTGTGTACAGGGCGCGCCGGGAACCACGTTTCAGAGTCCCCCCGACACCTCACCACTGTGGCACAGCGTCAGACCACCCGAGAGGCCCACCGGCGAACGGACGAGCAGAGAGGAAGCTGCACGTGACGTGAGCTGGGCCCCGCCCCCCCCACCGAGGGCAGAGGCTGCCGACGGGGTGCAAAGGTCGGCCCTCCGCTGCCGGTCACCGCGCCGGCCCGAGGGCGGGGAGGCCTGGGGGAGGCGTCGGGAGGCCCAAGCACGCGTGAGCTGGGCTCCACGGGGGAGGACTTCGGGTGCCGGCGGGGGGTTTCCAGCGGAGCCCGTGACCAGGGTGGAGTCAGAACTGGAGCCGTGCCCTCGGAGAGCGGTGCATGCGGAGGGCGACGCCGATGTTTCCGAGTCTGAACCCCACGGGGCGGGGGGGCGGGGGGGGGGCTGGCCGCAGGGATTCCTCTCGACCCCAGGGAACCGCCGCCAGCGCCGGTTGCGAGGAGGATGGGCAGGAAGGAGGCACAGGTGTGTGCGTCCCCGGGTCTCCTGGGAGACCGACCCAGCCCGGGCGCCGTCCCCACCGTGAAAACACTAGCTGATCATCAGGACGTCGAGGCAAAACCGTCTCGGGTTCGTCTCTCTTCTGCCATCGGGGTCACAGTGTCCTGGGCCGTGCCCAGGCACCAAGGGGACCCCGGCAGCTGTTCAGGCACCGCGCCTCGGGTCCCCGAGTCCGCCAAGGAGCCCGTGGCCCTGGCCCGACCTCTAGCCTCGAGAGCTCAAACGCTCCCCTTGCATGCCTCCGTCACGGCCGCCGGCCAGGAGCCCGCGCCGCCAAGGCGACCCGCCCCTCACAGCAGCTCCCGCATCTGTGTCCGTTCGTGTTTGTTCCCACGGCCGCCCGCTCCCACCTGAGAGTGGACCCCGCCCCTCCTCCGAAAATTCCTCCTCCCGGCGGCACCGAGTCATCCTGTGGCTCCGGTTGCTAAAACCCCTAAAACCCTGCAACCGCAGCGACCTCGGTCTGGCAAGGAAAGGCCCTGCACCCGACCGAGCGCCCACAGGCTATAAAAACCCGGCCCGGCGGGGCTGCCTGTCCGACCTTATCTGCCCACAGACCTGCGCATTCCTCCCAGATGCCCCTAAAGGCTGACTCAGGCCTATTGTCTGTGCTTGCAAAGCTGGGCTCCGCCCGGAAAGTCCTGCCCGGCCGGTCCTTAGTCATGCAGCCTGGCACTCCTCGGCCTCGGCCTCCGAGTGTAACTCTTGCCTCCCCAGCGGATGCCCTGGCCCTGCACCCTGTGTCCGCGGTGTCCAGGAGCTTTTATGGTTTATTAGATTTGTGTTCTTTTTAAAATCCTTTGCTCTCTGACACTGTGGCGGAAAGCTCTGGAGTCCAGGCTGTGGTCCGTCGTTGGTCCCCCGATCTTCACGTCCTGGAAGCTGGGGGGGCTGTGTGATGGACGGCTTCCCGGAGGCACAGCTTGGGTCTCGGTGGGAAATGCAGGCACGGGGAGTGCCCCGCTGCCGGCAGGAGCTGGCGAGGCAGTCCGGACGCGGCTGTTCGGCGTGAGGTGTGGCCGCACCCCCGCCCTCGGGAGCTTGTTGGGAATGGAGGACCGCGGACACTGGCCTTGCCCGGAGACTGGACTCTGCATTGCGCAAGGTTCCCCAGGGCACGAGTGGGCACAGTCTGGTCTGGGGAGCGGGGGGGCCACCCAGAAAGCGTGCTGGGCAGGCGAAGGAAAGAGGGGCGGTCGCTGTTCCGCGACGGCTGTGAACGGGGGTCTGGGAGTCGAGTGTTTCCCGTCACTCGGCAGCCCCGACCCTGGACCCGTCCCCGGACCGGGCTGAGCCTCCTCTGTTGTTCCACGCAGTGGTTGTGCGGTGCGGGGGGGGGGGGGGGGGGGGGTGCGAACGTGGTTTTAAAAAACCACAGAACTTTTATGCGTACTTTTGAATACGTCTTTCAGTGGCTGTTCTCGGGATCACACAGCGGGTGTGTGGCCGGGCGGGGGCCAGAGTGCCGTCCTCCTGACCCTCAGTCCCGTCCTTGTCGAGCTGTCCCCGCCGGCACAGGCCCTGGACGGCTCTGGGCCCGGGGACAGCGGCCGGGGCGGCCTGTGCGGACGGAGCAGGGCCGGGCGTCTGTGTCCAGGGGTGCATGTGTTGCTGCCGCAGCCGGTGGGTTCTCCCCGGAACCAGCTTCAGGGAGTAACTGGGATGCAGGCGACAGATTTCAGGTAACCACGTTCACTGCAGACTCACTCACATACAATAGCGATGACTAAACAATCGCAAACGACCTGGATGCCCAGCAGCCGGGGCTGGGGACCGAAGTTGCCAGACATCCCAGCACAGCACCTTATGCGGCTGTTAAAAGTTCTGTCTAAAAAGAGTTTTTAAGGCTATGACATATTTGACATACTATTAAGCCAACAAAAAGAAAAAAAAAGAGGTAGACTATAAAGTTACGTAAGTATGATCTCAACTGAGTCTTAAAAAATGTGGAGACACGGGGACATGGAAACCCGGGGGGTCCCCCTCCGAGCTTGTCCCTGGAGGGCGGCGGCCTTGTGGGGCCCGCCCTCCTCCTTCCAGCGTGAGGCTCAGTGACTCCACCAGTGTGCGCCGGGGCGCCCAGGTGACCGAGGGACGCGGTGGTGCCTCGGACCCTGGCTCGACGGAAGCGAAGCCGTGTTGGTCGGTTAGTAGCTGCAGCTCCTTTTAAAATACTAACAGTTTGTGTGTGTGTGTCTCTCTCTCTCCAACAGCGAGGCAGAGTCGGGGCCGCAGCACGGCAGACCGCCGCACCCCGCCTGGGCGCCGCCGACCGAGACTGGTTTCCTCCCGGACGCAGCGCCTCTCCCCGCAAGCACGCGGGGGAGCCTGGACGCTCCGCACCCCTGCTCTTTCCCTTCTCAACGCTTTCTTTTTAAAAAGATTCAAGCCTCTGGCTGGCGTAGCTCAGTGGACTGAGTGCGGGCTGCAAACCAAGGTGTCGCAGGTTCGATTCCCAGTCAGGGCACATGCCTGGGTTGCAGGCCACGGCCCCCAGCAACCACACATGGATGTCTCTCTCTCTCTTTCTCTCTCCCTTCCCTCTCTAAAAATAAATAAATAACATCTTAAAAAAAAAAGGTTCAAGCCTTCAGAAAAGGCCCAAGAATAGGAAACTGGTGTGCCTTTCACGCACGCTCCTCCATGAACACTTTGCCCCGGCTGTGCTGTGTGTGTGTGTGTGTGTGTGTGTGTGTGTGAGAGAGAGAGAGAGAGAGAGAGAGAGGGAGAGAGATTTCATCTCCCTGGTCGACGTCACTGCGGAGCCTTTCCGAGCGCGCGGCACCCGCCCTCGTCCGCACACCCGAGTTCGCGTCTCTCTGGAGATTGAGAGCCTTGTCCTACCTCGCCATGACACAGGGTCAAATCCAGAAAACCTGGTATCGATACAGTACGGGGTGGGGGGGGACAAAACTAGGTTTACGGGTGTGAGTGTGCAAAGGGTGGATGCTTGTACCACTGTTTACTAACTGCATCATTTCCCGCACGAACGACTGTGCACCTCCTTTGGCCCCACCCCACGCCGCCGTCTCACAGGCGGTCCCGAGACAGATGTTTGCAGTTGTCCCAATACCGTCTTCTGCGGCAGTTTCTCTCCTCCGCAACCTCGAAGCCCAGCCGAGCATTTTGTAAATCGGCCTGTTTCCCCGGTGACGGTGAGACAGCATCCCACCGGAGGAGGCGTGTCCTGTGCCCAGGACCCTCCCGCTGGACTGCCCGGCCGTGTCCAGTCTTCTACTAACACACGGACTATGCAGCGTTCAAACACCTCCGTCCACAAAGACGGGGGTGGGGGTGCCTCCGTGTGAGACGTTTCTGGAGGTGAAGTCGCCGTGTCGAAGAGTAGACACATTTTGCTTTTTGATGTTTTTTTTTTGTCGTTGTTGCAAAAACACAACTTCAGAGAGGGCGTACATGCAGCCTGACCCTTCCGCCAGAAAGGCCCGAGACGGCCACCCGTCCCACCTTCCGCCTGAGGCTGCGTGTGGCCCAGTCACTGGATCTCCGATTCGTGCACGGAGAAGGATTTTTTAAAAAAGAGAAGAAGGAGAACACAGAAAAGAGAAACAAGGATAATGAACACGCGAAGAGTGCATTTTGTTTATTGCAGCGTCTTCCTTGAGGTTGACAACAGTTCATACGTTTAAAACGTGATCGTGTGTCCTTTTCTCCCATTTGTCCTTCATTCTTCTCCGTGAGCCTCGTGTCCCAGCACAGTCCCCAGCAACCGTGCGTTTCTGGAAAGCTCCGTGGGCAGCCGGCCGGTCTTCCTCCTCCGGGGAGTCCTGGCGTCCTTTAACAGTTTGCTGAGTTTTCCCCAGCGGCAAGCTTCTGCCGGGACCTCGGCATTCCCAGGTTATCACAGCAAAACGAGCCAAACCACACGGGCCGGCGGGCGCCCTTTCCCACACTGTTCTTGCCCTCCCCCCGTCTGTCTTCTACCCACCATCTATGCTTCTTACTCCCTGTACCTCTTCCCCCCTCCTCCCCCCTCCCACTGTCCTGTTGCTGACCCTCCCTGTGATCTCCATTTCTGTGAGTCTGTTTCTGTTCTAATTGTTTTACTTAGTTTTTGTTTTGTTTTAGGTGTGGTTGTTAATAATTGTTAGTTTGCTGTCCTTTTACTATACATGTTTTTTTTTTATCTTCTTTTCTTAGATAAGTCCCTTTAACATTTCATAGAATAAGGGCTTGGTGATAATGAACTCCTTTAACTTGGCCTTATCTGAGAAGCACTTTATCTGCCCTTCCATTCTAAATGATAGCTTTGCTGGATAGAGCAATCTTGGATGTACGTCCTTGCCTTTCATGACCTGGAATACTTCTTTCTAGCCCCTTCTTGCCTGCAAGGTCTCTTTTGAGAAATCAGCTGACAGTCTGATGGGAACTACTTTGTAGGTGACTGTCCCCTTATCTCTTGCTGCTTCTAGGATTCTCTCCTCCATTTTTACCTTGGCTAATGTAACGATGATGTGCCTTGGCGTGTTTCTTCTTGGGTCCAACTTCTTTGGGACTCTCTGAGCTTCCTGGACTTCCTGGAAGTCTATTTCCTTTGCCAGATTGGGGAAGTTCTCCTTCATTATTTGTTCAAATACATTTTCAATCTGTTGCTCTACTTCTTCCCCTTCTGGTACCCCTATAATTCGGATGTTGGAACATTTAAAGATGTCCTGGAGGTTCCTAAGCTTCTCGTTTTTTTGAATTCTTATTTCTCCATTCTTTCCTGTTTGGTTGTTTCTTTCTTCCTTCTGGTCCACTCTATTGTTTTGAGTCCCAGTTTCCTTCCCATCACTATTGGTTCCCTGTGCCTTTTCCTTCATTTCTTTTATAGTAACCTGCATTTGTTCATCTAATTTGTGACCAAAATCAACTAATTCTGTGAGCTTCCTGATCACCAGTGTTTTGAACTGTGCATCTAAGAGGTTAGCTATCTTTTGGTCGCTCAAAAGGATGAGTTCTGGGGCACCGATTTGTTCTTCTGTTTGAGCCATCTCTCTCTCTCTCTCTCTCTCTTTTTTTTTGGTCTGGTCGCTCCTGTTACAGTGAGGGGCAGAGCCTTAGGTGTTCATGTTTTTTGTTTTTAAATTTGTTGTTGTCCTTCTTTTGGTTGTGTGAGGGGCACAGGGTGTCTGCCTATGGCTCCATCTTGGTCGGAAGTCTCCTTCTCAGTTTCATTCCTGTGGTTACATTCACACACGCCTTTTATACAATAACGAGATCACTCTAGTCATGCAGTTTGGGAATATGCTTTTTCCTTTAACAACTGGTGACAGCTTCCCAATTCAGTAAATATAAATGTGCATTGTCATTTTTAACGGCTATAGAATGTCTATTATAGTTCTCTGTTTATTCAATAAATATTCACGCGCAGACACATCACTAGCTAGAGTCCAGAGGTGCATTCATAGGTAAGTAGGTCTGTGCCCACACAAATTCAGTGTAATTCACTTAATTAACCCCTACAGCAGGACAGTAAAGTCATTCAATTTTGCTATTAGAAATGGGTGATGACGAATATCTTGCACATACATTTTTTGTGCCCCTGCCTAAATGCTTCCTCAGAGTAAATGCCCAGAAGGGTTCATTACTTGATGAAAGGCAGACCTAGTGTAGGTACTGGCACTTCCACAGGTGCAGGTGGACTTCCTGGGAAGTTGCTCCGACTGGCATTCCCAGCGACAGCGCTCACTGTTTCATGTTCTTGCGACACCACGATTAATAATTTTCTAAGTCCTTGCCAATCTACTGGGCAACCTTGGAAATAAGTTAACTGTTCTCTCTCCCTCCCTCTCATACACCGACAGCCCATATCCTTTATCTTGGGAAGTTGATCTCTTTCTTAGGGATTTGTAAAAGTGACTGTGTCCCTTAAGGAGACTGTCGTGTACTTTGCAAATACTTCCCGGTGTTCGTTTGTCCTTGGACATGCTTGTGGTCACTTCAGACCTCAGCAAAGCTAGGGAACAGACGAAGAAATAAAATGGAGTCGTCGTGGCCAAGCTGCTAAATCATTAATTTCGAGTGGGCTGAGGCGCAGGGAAACACTCATTCCTGTTCTCATTCCTGTTCGCTCACCTGGGGACTTGAACTCCCGAACTTCCGGTGCTGCGTCCGTATCTGCATGCACGCCCGTGTGTGGCGTGTCCACCCCGGGCCATCCAGCAGGCCGTCCGTTTACGTGGGGATGGCCGCCGGACGTCCAGCAGTCCCTATTGCCAGAGGGGCCCCGGGGGCTAAGAATGCAGAGCGGATTCTGCCCAGGAATGTGCCTCTCGCCTCGAAACTGTCAGACTCGCCTTTCTCCTCGGGAACTCGCTGGGCCTGGCTGGCGGGTGTCTCCAGCTTGCAAGCCGTGTGACCCTGGACGAGTCTGAGTCGCTTTATTTTTCAGCCAAAGCCGCAGGACTTTTTTGAGTTCCTCCGGCACTGTACAGAACACCTTCGGAGAGACTGACTGTCCGTAACTTTCAGTCCTGATCAACAAGCCACTGCGTGGAAGGCGCTGGGGTGGACCGGGACCCAGGCCGCTGGAGCCTCGGCCCACGGGCAGCCGGGCCTGCAGGTCCCTCCCTCGGTGTGGCGGAGGAGGGGCGGCGGATTTAAAGACGGGGGAATGGAAAAAGCGGTGGCCGCCCGCACGCGGTCTGGGGAGGAAGATGGGGCGGAGGGACAGACACGGAGATGTGCGGCCGTGGTGGGGGGTGGGAATCTGAGGCCGAGGGCGCGGCTCGAAGAGGACTTTGAGGAAGTCTGCCGGCAGGAGGGCCGATGCTCGCGGAACCGTGGCGATGCAAACCACGCAGCTCGTCACCGGCCGAGGTGGGACTCGGACGTGATTCCGGACCACGAGTGGGCGGTGGGCCCCGCGTGGGTGCTGGGGGCTGTAGCGCCAGCCGCAGGCACCGGGCTGTGTGCTGGGGGGCTCCCCACAGTGGACGCCCCCCCAAGACGCACAGTCCTCGGCTAGAAAACCACTCCCAGCCTGGGACCTGTGAGGGAATTGGGCCGACGCAGCACCCGGGGAGGCTCGCTGGGGCCCTCAGGAAGGAGAAGTGACCGTGTCCCCTCAAAGGGGACAGGGAAGCACGGCCCGGTCACGTGGCCTTAGGGGAACTTGCCCTGCAAAGAAGCTCCGTGGGCGGGTGGCGGGGAGAGAGGCAGAGGGGAGCTGGTCCCGAAGGCGGTGGCTGAGCCCCTGGGCCCTCTGGCCCCCGAGCCCGCCCTCCTCCCCATCTTCCTCTGGCCAGACAGAGTGGAGGTCCCGGTCTCCCCCGCCCCCCCGCCCCCCCGGAGTCAGCCCCGCTGCTGCTTGCGCTGAAGACATTCTGGCGCTCGGCGCGGAGGGAGTCTGCGCAAGCAGCGGCCCTGGCAAGATCACCGAATTCCTGAACACAGTCATCTGGACGCAGCTCAGACCCGG